GTCTGCGTCGACTGCCAGTAGTAGACGCGCCAGACCGTTCCCTGAAGCCGTAGAAAAGGTAAAGAAAGAGTAGATGAACCTAGTCTAATGTGACGAACCCAAATTCATTCCCTAGTAGATCTATCCTGAAGGTATGGAGCGGTTCAATACTAGAAGACTAGGTTAGGGGGAAAAAGAAGAAGCCAGGAGATGAGGCCCCAAGAGGGGGTCATAGGCCTGGTATTCTGCCGGTCCATTCCTTCACCGCCTACGACACCGCTCACATGATCCCGAGTATCAGCGCCGTCACATAATTTATTTATTATAGTACTATAAAATTAACTAGTTAACTAGGATAATAATAGTAATAATAATAGTACCTTACGTCAGGTGTAAATTTGGAAACTTTGATGTTAATAGGTACCCACTGTATCAGGGGCCTGGGCCAGGGCTGGGCTGGACTGGGCTGGACTGGAGTCTAGACCTGGTTGGCAAGCCCTGCCTAGATACTCCGTACTTGCCTAGCTAGGCAATAATAATGTGGGCCGAATTCCATGGGCTAGTGGCCTTGTCAGGCCGTCATATATAGATAATAGAGGGCCAGAAGCCTGTGCTAACCATTCCTACGAGGAACGATCAACTACTAATGCGATTGATTGATGATTGTTTCTCATGACGTCGTTGGGTTGTGAGAACATGCCGATATGTATGTATGTACAGCACCCATCCATCATCCATCCTGACACTCTCAACCCACCGTAATGTATATGCAGGAAATATGTACCCCCGGACTTTTCTCCCTCCCAACTTGTACAGTACCCCGTCAGGCACCTCATATACCTCCCTCCAACACGAAAACTCGGAGGTGATTTGTATATACTCCAAAACAAACGACGAGGCAGGCCAAAGCCGACAAGAAAACAAACATATACTCACGAAACTCATGAACCCATATTCAAGCTAGCCTCCCGGCCGTTGCTCAACTTCGAAAGCAATCAAAATGTTCATGTCACATCAATAGCTGTCGCTTTTCACACAACAGATCCCTCCGCCCCTGCTACCCAAATATGTAAATATGTAATATGACCACATCTTTTACTCCGAACCCACTGTCACTGCCCAGATCACGACACGTAAGACCAAGATGGACCAAAAAGAAAAGAAAAAAAAAAGGACAACGTTAAGACAAGCAAGTGAACGGAATGTGAAAGAAACGAAAACACCACATGCAGTTTCAAACTGTTATATGCGATGTAAATAAAGGGTAGAAGAAGGAAAAAGAAGAAAATAATATTCAAAAAAAAATCCCTGAAGAAATAAAACTCGAAGACTAACGCTGATCACGATTCGTCCATGACCTCGTCGATAGTATTCGAGGTACGCGTGCCTGACGTTGTGGAGCCAGCTCCACCGTTCGTATGGTCCGGTCTTCTGGATCCCTGTTCATTGATGTTACCCAGTCTGGCCTCAGACTGTGGCTCCTCCTTCATGCAGGCATTTTCAAGAATATTGGTCCACTTGCCGCTCGTGCCCGCATGGCTGTGCTTCAAGTGCTGTCGGAAGTGATCCGCCCGGTAGAATTTCTTGACATTGTTGCACTCGCCGAATTTGTGCACACTAGTCAAGTGCTCAAACCGACGCTCCCAGTCTGCTTGAGGAAAATTGGGAAATTCCTCGCCGCAATAACCGCAGGTGTCGTGAGATGGACCCGCGCTGGTCTGTGCACTGGGTGATGTAGATGGGTGGAAGGCAGCCTGATAGCTAGGAAGCGCAGCACAAGACCACGAATGGCGGCGCAAATGGAGAGAATTCTGGTGCCGCTCGGCCTCGTTTTTATTTTTAAACCGATTATTGCAGAACTGACACGAATATTGCTTCTCGGATTCGTGAGCCCTAGATAGATACCAAAGATCAGCAAGACGACATCTAGCAGAACAGACTCCCTGCTGAAAAGGGAGGATTAAAAAGGCGTAACCAACCGCAGTTCCTCTAGCGTATCAAACTTCTTAGGCTTTTTAGGACAGCATTCGCAAATATACATTCCTCCAATCTTGGGACCATTAGGTTTCGGCGCATTCAGAGCGGTCTGCACAGACATCTTCCGGTTGGAAGAGGTCGATTTCGGATCCGTGGGGTTGGTGTATTGCGGCCCTTTCGCTGCGGGAACACCGGCCAGAGATCCACTGGGGCTGGGCTGGTTCAGAACTGTCTTGTCCTGGCATTGCTCCAGCTCCGACTTGGGCGAGAGACCCCCAGAGGAGAGACGATCGTAGGAAGATATGCTCGTCATGCTGCTGCCACCAACGGATAGGGAAGCCGAAGAGCTGTACGACGCAGACGTTCGGAAACTCGCCGAGGAGGCAGATGACAGCGATCCATGGCTTGGGGGATACCGAGAGCCAGGTGACACGGCGCCCGAGAACGGAAGTCCACTCATTCTTCGCGAGGCAAGATCGCCATTACTAGTCGCTTTGTGAAGAGTATGACGGTCATCGCCAGTCAGCTCACGCGGCGGAGATGACGCTCGTCGCTTCATCCCTTGCTGTTTCGAATGGCTGGACATGCTGTCCAAGTAGGGAGGTGTACGCTCACTATGAAGTTGCCGGGACTGCCCGCTTTCATCGACAGAGAACTCTCCCTCGACATCCGAGAAGACGCCCTGATCATAGCTCCCCCTGTTCGACCGACTGGAGAGACTGAACGTATCTTCAAACTGTGGAGTCGTAGCCCCTGCTTGTCGTCGTCCTGCGTCGAAATCCATCCCGGAAGACGGCGCACTGCTCTCAACACTCGGGCTCCGATAATCTGTATAGTCCTTCCATCCTGTTTTGGTGCCTGGAGAAATGGCACCCGACTGAAAGACACTATTGCGGGAATCTGGAGCGCCAGGTGGTCCATCAGAAATCGGCGAGGGCAGGAATCCGCTCCCTAAGCTTCTCGAATGGAAAGGCAACGTAGATATCGAGCCCCGGTCGCTTCCTAGACTGACGGATGGTCGAGGAGGAGAATGAGGCTTTCCAATTTTGGACAAAAGTTGCCGGTCATAATTATCAGAGTTGTTCTTCACACTCTTTAACGAGAAATCCCTCTCCCCCTTAAGACTGTCGACCAGCAGATCAGCACATCACAGTTACAACTCTTCCAATTGAGGAACTCCCGAAGGAAGAAAAAAAATAAAGACGGTGTACTCACATTGGTTCGGACAAGTTTGTAGAAATTGAATTCCTGAAGCCCTCCTCGACTGACGATGCTGGAGGCTCGATCTTAATTTGGGTTTGAGGAGACTGCTCCAAAGAGCCACTTTTTCCTCTTCCATCTGAATCGCCAAGGTTGATTTTCTCCAATCGTGGGATCGGTTCAGGGCGACGGTGACCTCCAAACAGACTCGAGCTTGGATTAATGGGGGCTAATTTGCCGACATCCGGCGCACCCATGGAATTCGCATGAAGCCAGCCGACATCGTGGCCGTCCTCGAGAGCGTTGATCCGTGGAGGTGGGGGTAACGGAGGAGGAGCAAAGTTCTCTACGGTTTTGTTCGGAATGGGCATTGGTCCCCTTGACGAGAACGACGATCCGGACATATGGCGGTCGTAACTGTTATTGCAATCATGAACGTGAATCGACGGGGTCGAGGACAGACGTGGAAGGTCCATATTTGACGAAAAATGGCCACGGGCTGGACATCCAAGGGGAGGCGATGGAAATATTCAGACCCATGTACGAGACAGCAGACGTCCGCAAGTAGTTTGCCAAGACGCAGGTAGGAACTGTTGCACGTAAAAGGACCAGCCGGACGACACACTCTCTTCTCTCAGTCACGGTAACACCTCCAAGAAAGGGCCTTGATCGTGGACAAATTTCGATGGTGAATCGATGTTCCTGTGGCACCGTGGATCCAACCGAGCAGGCAAGAGACGGACGTCAACGTCTGGAAATGCACCGGCTCAGGAAAGAGCGCTCGAGACAAGAACGTACCCTCCTCAAATCCTCGATAGATATTTGGATTTCCACAACGGCATGAGGAGAGCAGGGAAGAAAGCTCGTCCAGGCAGAGGTAAGGACTGCCACTTCTTTCCGCAAATCGTATGGCGCCAGAAGCTGTTTCAACGGTGGGGAAGGGACGAAAAGCGCAAGAGCATGCCGCAACTCAGAGAAATCAACGGCAGGCCATGAATTGGGGGGAGTACCGATCAACGGAGGAGGGCCAGCCAGCCAAGCGCGAGGAGGCGGCGGCAAGGTGGTTGACCGCCGCGGGTGGAAGCAGAAGCGCAGCAGTAAGGCTGGTATAGATAGAAACAACAAGAACGGTCAGTGAGCGACAGGGACCGAGACAGGACTGCTGGAAAGTGCCCGGGCTGCAGGCAATGGGAAAAAAAAAGAAAAAGAGGTAACGGACTAGGATCACAAAGATCGAGGTGCACCGCAAGTCGGGAAGAAGGGCAGCTGCGACTGGGGGAGGTACGTGCAGCAGTAGTACCCGTTAATAATTAGTTCGTGGTGCTGGAGGACCAAACAGTATTGGCTCTATGTAGCCAAGCAGCCACCTTTGGGCTGCAGAGAGTGCGTTGTCGGTGGCACGCCGCAGAGACAACGGAAGTCGCAGAAGGAACAAAGCACGACTTCAGGCGTCCATGGGCGACGGGACTCGGCCTCGCAGCTGCAGGGTGGTGCGATGGCGATAGACGCGGGTGGTGACGCGGTATGGGGAGGGGA